CCCCAAAACCCCAAAACCCCAAAACCCCAAAACCCCAAAACCCCAAAACCCCAAAACCCCAATTTCAGCATAAAATATTGTAAAAATTACATAAAAATGTCAAATTTCAACTACAAGAAGTTGTTCATCCATAATATTGACTACAAGACTACCTACCAAGAGATTTTCGATGCTTTCGATCGGATTGGCAAATTGAGGTACTGCGATGTCCCAGTCGACAAGAACAAAAGATTAAAGGGATATGCCTTCGTAGAGTATTTCGATTCCAGACTTGCGGAAGTGGCTCTTAATAGACTTAACAACACCCATATTGGAATCAGAGCTATCAAGATAGAGTTCTCCAACAAGTTGAAGGAAGGGAGCACTGTCAACCAGAGCAAAAGTGAAGGATTATCCCCCCGCAAGACGACCCAGAGAGATCATAATAGAGGTGGCCGTAGATCTCGTGATTATGAGCAATCTGAAGAATCTAAAAGAAGAGGATCCAGATCTCCTCCCTCCTATTCCAGAAAGAAGATCAACTCTCAAGATATCAGGAAGGACTACCTCAAAGCCTTCTATGAGCCTGGCGAGTTCTATGATGAGACCCCAGCACCAGCCGAAATGGATAATTTCTTAAAGAAGACCATAAAAGAGGCCCCTACAGTAATTGAAACCTCAAGAAGAAGCGACAAGTACGATGACAGAAGAATAAGCAAGAAAGAGTACAGCAGAGACAGAAGAGATAGAAGAGACTACAGAGACTAATATTTCCAACTTTTAAGTGCTAGATAGATCACTAATTCTCAGGATATGTTATTGACCTAAAAGATTGCCCTCCTCATTGATATTTTGAATCCTCTTTTTAAGCAGATATTTAGGTATCTAATTGGTATTGCTCAGTGTGCTAGCCCCTCTTGACTGTACTATTATGTTCTCACTGCTAGAAATGTACTTGGGTTGGTTATTAGAAATTTTTCTCCTGTAAAGATCTCATGAACCCTGCTATCCTCCTTGTTACTAGCCTAATTATATTGTCAATTTATCAAACCTCTCTGGGGTTTTGGGGTTTTGGGGTTTTGGGGTTTTGGGGTTTTGGGG